GACATCAATTTCAAATTCTCTCTTTTAGATTGGAATAAACAGTGTAAAGTTAGAAAGTCTTTGAAATAAAGTTCTCCTGAAATAACCCTTACCCCAAATATGGACAATTGAATAATTGCCCATTGGTGGCAGAGGATAGATGAACTGCAGAATTTTGAGTGTCATTCTTGCATATTTAGATCCCATTATAGCATTTAGTGTGTTTACCCAAGTTGAAAGAAGCCTAATTTTCATTGAGATTTGTCTATATAGCGTTTGTTTGCATCCTTTATTCATTAACTACTAGAGAAGGACAGACCATAGGGCTGCACTATCTTTTTGCCAAGTATTCTAAAGAAAGTACAGGCGGTCTCCAAGTTACGAACAGGCTAGGTTCTGTAGGTCTGTTCTTAAGTTGAATTTGTATGTAAGTCGGAACAGGTACATTTTTAAGTGTAACTCCAGCCTGTATGTATATGTGTTTAGATAGATAGATAGATAGATAGATAGATAGATAGATAGATAGATAGATAGATAGATATAGATATAGAGAGCGTGAGAGAGAGCACTTTTTACAGCATAGGGAAGGGTTGACACTCTGTGGTGTTTGTTTTGTTGTCTGTGCCCCTGTTCAGAAGATTTCAGCTCACTTTCTGTCCCTATGATAATTGAATTTTGAAAAATTTGGCTTGTTGTGGAAACAAGGATTGGGAAGAAAGCTTCAGTAGAGACCCCTTTTCCCTAATAATAACTCTTTCAGGATTGAATTTCCCTTTCTAGGGGTAGATTTCTCTCACTTCCTGTTGTCTCACCCCGGAGGTAGGTTGGATGCTTGTAACTCAGGGACTAGCATATACTAGACTTTCATATGTAACGTTGGTAATTTGTTGTCGAAGGCTTTCATGGCCAGAATCACTGGGTTGCTGTGAGTTTTCCAAGCTATATGCCATGTTCCAGAAGCATTCTTAGGAGAGAATGCTTCTGGAACATGGCCATACAGCCCGGAAAACTCACAGCAACCCAGCGTTGGTAATTGTTAAAGGCAACTATAAAATCCAAGCACTGTCTAATTTATTATATCAATATTTCCTAAGCTTTTTCATTACTTTAAAAGGGCCCAGCTCTCTGTTTCTGAGTGGTATATAAAGCTGGATTCTTTCATGGGATATTTACAGCTTTCATAGATGTAGCATAAGCTTAATACTTGAACACAATGTAGTTTATAAATCAGTGATGTACTGTGCAAATTGAGTGTCCATAATTTACAGAGTACAGCAACTAGCACACAATAGTCTATAAAGTAAAGGTAAAGGTTTACCCTGATATTAAGTCTAGTTGTGTTCAACTCTGGGGGTGGTGCTCATCTCAATTTCTAAGCCAAAGAGCCGGCGTTTTCCGTAGACGCCTCCAAGGTCATGTGGCCAGCATGACCGCATGGAGCGTCATTACCTTCCCGCAAAAGTGGTCCCTATTGATCTACTCACATTTGCATGTTTTCAAATTGCTAGGTTGGCAGAAGCTGGGCCTAACAGTGGGAGCTCACCCTGCTCCCCATATTCAAGCTGCCAACATTTTGGTCAGCACCTCAGTGGTTTAGCCCACTGGGTCACCAGAGGGCTAAACCAGAGGGCAACTATTATTGCAATAAATTGTATTGTTATACAGAATTTGGGCTGATCTTTTTTTTATGTATATAGGTAATGAACTACGGCCAGATTCAGTCTCTAGTGGCCTAGAGCTCTATGGAGAACACAGACATTCTTATAGGTCCAGATCAGAGCTGGAATCCCTCAGATCGCCTCTGTGTTTTCAACCTAGGTAAAATTTCAGTTTTCTTTCATCTGTGTTCCAAAAATTTCACCTGTTAATACAAAGTAGCAAAATGACAGATGTATTTTAAAGTTACACACGTATAGGTAGAATTTTTCAGACCGCAAACAAATGCCAATTTGAGAAAGAATTGAATTGTGATAAAATAATTGTGCTAGAAACATTAGGCGAGATTAACAGGATGTTGTTAGGTGAATTATGATATGGCCACAGTAAATCACCCTTTCTCAGCCCCAGAAAAAGACAATGGCAAAACTTTTCAGAGCAAATCTTGCCAGGAAAACCGACAATTTGAAATTACTTAAAGGTACACAATAAACCATTTAAGCCAGAAATGAGCAGGTGATGAGGGTGAGCAGCAAGAAGAAAGTTACTTATCTAATAAATGTGTAATTTGCTGTTTCCTGTAAATATTTTACATCTTTATATCAGCATTCCCTATTGTTTTCCTCTTTAATCTTAAGGTTCCAAGGGATCCATTCTGATTTAAGCCCAGTTTCCCTTGCATGTTCTCAGCTGCAGAATTATGATCCTGACAGGGCTTTAACAGATTATATTAATCGTCTGGAGGCCCTACAGAGGCGACTTGGCAGTGTACAGTCAGGTAAATATTGTTTTATTTAAATGATTCTTTGATTATCCAGGTTTCCTATAGTTACGCCTTCCTCACTTGGTTGCCAGTTGGCTAGGTTATCTCTAAGAGTTTCTGGCATTGCCATACAAGTTAATTGCAGACGTCCTTTTCAAAGCCATTCCTTTCTAGTTTATTTTATTTCTTTATTGTGTCAGAAGCAAATTGAGAATACAGTTATAATGTATAGAAAAACCACTAAGTTAAAAACTTGGCATTATACTAAATTTTCTTTGACCAGAAGCTGGCCACTTGGGAGTGCCTCTGGTGTCGCTACAAGAAGGTCCTCCATTGTGCATGTGGCATGGCTTAGACTGCGTTGTAGTCAGTGGTCTGTAGTTTGCTCTTCTCCACACTCACATGTTGTGGACCCCACTTTGTAGCCCTATTTCTCAAGGTTGGCTTTGCATCTCATGGTGCCAGAGCTCAGTCTGTTCGGTGCCTTCCAAGTCACCCAATCTTCTGTGTGACCACAAGGCAGTTTCTAATCTGGTATCAGGCACTGATTGAGGTTCCAGGTTTTAACCTGCTACTTTTGGACTCTCACTTGCTGAGGTGTTTCACCAAGTATCTCTGTAGATCTTAGGAAGCTATTTCTTGATTTAAGGTATTGGCTTAAACCAGAAGCGACTTGCAGGTTCCTTTCTAATAAGAATGTGTCTTTCTGCTCCACAGCACCTGCTTCCTACACTCAGCTGCATTCTGGTATCAGAAGATAATCGTTACAAACATTTTTGACACTGGTACTGACATCAAAGGAAATGCCTTCTGCAAATCTGTGCTGCTGTGCTTTTGTATAACGTGTACATTGTGGGACCAACATGAACAGAGCTCAATGATTGTATGCAGTTCACCATGCTGGCGCTTCCAGAAAGACTGGAACCTATGTATATAGGCACTTTTTGTTGTCCTTTGAAATGAATCATTGAATTTTCATGTATATTCGTGGAATGCTAATTTAAAGAATTAAATTATTGAAGTGTGTATTTATCAGAAGGGTGAGAGGATGAAACGTTTATGTTCTGAGCGTGCTGAATGTGTAGCTCCCAATGCACAAAATTTTCTGACAAGGCTAAGTGAAGGACTTTTCATGATTTTATTCTATTTGCTACTGGCGTTGCAGAGAGAAATATCACTTGTAGAGACTATTTTTGTAAAGGTAGAAGTTTTGGATTTTATGGGTATTTTGTCAAAAGTACTGAAATAAAGACGATTTCATCCTTTTAATATTTGTGTCTGGAAATACTTCAAAATAGGGTTTTGTGTATTTTGAATAAAAAACATAAATCATGAATATTTTTACCCAGCAGTTTCCATTATGGCAATTGTATAAGTTTGTCGTAACATATTAATATTGTGACTTTTCAAAGACTTGTGGATTTATTCTAACTCCACTGTAGCATCAGATCTTAGATTAGTAAACTTGAGCCCATGAAGAGAAATTAGATTAGCCTCAAATCTCCAAACTTTCCGTTCAAGCCTCAAAACAATGGATATTTACACGGGCCTTTGACCTGGAGAAATGTACTTTGGTCATGTGATAATGTTGACCATTGTTATTCGGCACTTTAGTTCATGTTTGAAGAAACCCAATGACCGACAGGTTTATTTATTTCGTATCAAAAGCATTGTATAAATTAGTATAAAACTGATAAAAATAGGAGCACAGGTGGCTAAATATCTTTTATCCAAAAACTGGCAACAGCAATGCCATTGTCTGTAGCCTCAAACAATTCTTCCCCTGTACAATTCTTCCCCTGTACATGCAGGTCATAGTAGTGGACAAGCATACAGATGCGGAGTTGTCTCTTCCGCTTCACAGTCACACAAGGTGTGGGATTCTTTTAGGTAGTGCCATTTTGCCAAGTTGTCGTTTGATCTGCCCACTCCACTTCTGAGTCTGTTCGGGGACTTCCAAGTTGCCCATTCTTGGTTTGCCCCTGAAGGAAGATCCTCGTGGGGGGAGGGCATCCAGTTGGGATTTCCTGGTTTAGCTGCCCAGAGGGATATACCCTTGCTGTTGCTGGGGGATGCAAAGAGGAGTGGTAGTTCTCATAAAGCATTTCCTTGATTTGAGTCTACTGGGAGGAGGCTGGTAGCCATGCAGTGGGTGGCTTTCACAGCTCAACCTTATTTTTCTCACATTTAGCAGCAACTTCCTGTCGCACATCGGGGGGGAGGGGGGGCAATGCCAGCTAGCATGTAGAGTTTATCAACAGGTGTAGGTTTAAGACATCCTGTGATTATTCTGCATGACCCACAGGTATGACAGTTTTAGAATTTTATTTTTTTTAAAAAAAATATCAATTGACGTTGTCCATTGTTTGTATTCAGTCAAACTGTGTATTGTTTAGATGATGTATAAACTCTATTTTATGTGTGGCACCTTGAGTGCTTTGTTAGCCACTCCGAGTCCCTCCAGAGAGATGGTGGCGGGGTACAAATAACGTTTTATTATTTTATTATTACTTTGTTAACAGAAAATTTGGTCCCAGAGACAGGAAAAACATGAACAAATAGGAATTAGGTTCCTACGGTACACAAACAAATCCACTTCCAACATGTTTCAGCAAACTTTTAATTCCAATTTAACACATGAAATGAAATAACCAGATTAGGTAAACCTCACATAAGTAAAAATATTTGAAAATTTATAAAGATCATTTGAAGGCATCTTCCAACATTGCCTTTGTTTTATGTAATGTCTCACTAAAGCATTCCAAATGAGCAGAGTAAATGAAATCTTGAAACAGAAAAGATTAACCTATGCCCTTGTGAGCCAGAATTCCCTGCAGTTGCTTCATCTCTCAGTCACTCTCGCTCTTTTCACTGGCAAGGTTTATCTGCTCTATGCCATAAATATGTATGTTTCAGTCCCTTTTGTACACAACCTGAAGTGTGTCTCCTGTTTGGCCAGCACACACACATGACCAAAAGCATTCTACAAAGAAACCTTGTTTCAAAGGCTTAATTACCTGAGGGATGCCTAAAGTGTTCTAAAAGAACGATGGAAACAATACCTGAACACTCATCCTGACTCTACACATTTCTATCTGTTAGGAAAAAAATATTAGGAGTAGCTAGCTGTGGTTCTCAACCTGTGGCTCCCCAGATGTTTTGGCCTTCAACTCCCAGAAATCCTGGTAAACTGGCTGGGATTCTGGGAGTTGTAGACCCAACACCCGAGGACCCAGAGGTTGAGAACCACTGAGCTAGAGGTCTAGGTGGTTTGGTTGCAAAGACATCCTCCACTGGGATTATTGAAAAGCAGCCATGTTGGAAATTAAACACTTGTCACATCAGTCCCCATCCTTGTACATTCTTCACTGCCAGAATTACTGAACATTTTCAACATCACAAATTAAGTTTATCACATTTAATTAAAAACTTTACTGATGTTGCAGCTGGCCAAATTACCAGTGCATTCAAGCAAATACAATTATCAATCTAACATGACTAAATACACAATGAAATGTACAAAATATCTCTACAGGGGAATGGGGAGCCTGATGGATGTTACTAGATTTAGAAGTCCTCTCATTCCTACTTGTGCAACCTAGAGCTGATAAACATTGTAGTCCATCAACATCCATAAAATCATACATTAACCTCTGCTCTACAGAGAAGCTACAACTGCTTCTTGCTCTCTTCTGGTTTTATTCTTAGATAGCTTTATTTGAGCTGGAGTTTGCTGTATCCTCTGTGGCATTTGAAACTGTCTAAGTAGAAATCACATTAAATATCAGGGTCTAGAGTTCAATGCAAAATGGATAACAAGATTTGTATTTGTCAGTGATTATGAGTATCTATTTTTTTAAAAACCTTAAAGTTCATTTCTAAGAAGGCGGTACAACAACTGCTTCAGGAAAATGTATTAACTCCATTCAAGCTGTATAACAGTTACTTCCGTTTTGCTTCATCATGTTATGGCAATTTTAAAACTATTAGACTATAGTAGTCTTTGATGACACAACTCTTTTTTATCCTATTTCAAGTTATGCTCCTAGTTACAAGTATCAAAACTGAAGTTATTGCTGAACCGGCTCAAGATTGGTCTTGTAAGAATAAAAATTCAGTTTATAAAAGGCACAAGCAATTAAAATACACATTCTGGTTATGATACATGATGTGAAATGGGAAAAAATTCAAAAGAAACACCTCTTAGGTTTAAGGAACAGCACAAATATTCACATTTCTTTACAACAGTACAGGCATAAACCTGTCTCCTTTTTAAGGATCTTCATATAACTTGTATAGAAATATCTTCAGGAAATTTAGCTAGAAGACGTTACATTGCTGTGTGACCTCCGTTTGTATCTAATGATTGGGTTGTTAGGTGTGTGGATCATAGTTTTATAATTTATTGAAGGGAAATATCCATCCACCAAGTCAAATTCATACCAACGCAGAAGGGTTGACCAAATTGTTTTAATCTGAACATAAGCGAAGTTCTCCCCGATGCAACGATGACGGCCTAGAGAAAAAGGAAGTTGAAACAATGGATTTCAGTTTATATTTTAAGAACACTCATAAGCTAATTGGGAAGGCTGAAGAAGGATCATAGGAAGCTGCAGACATCCCTTTCCGATTTTCCCTATGCACCAACCTTGGAAATGTAACAACTTTGATCCACATTAGTTTCAATTAGAGAGGAAAGCTGTAAAACGCTGGTGACAATGTTAAGACAACTCCTCCACCCAACTCCCATCTGATTTTCAATTACCCAGAAGGATGAAGGATCCGATTGACAATGTCTTTTATAAATTTAATCCTCAGCTCCAGTAAGTAAGACTGTTCTGCTGAGAAAGCCAGATTATTTCATTGTGACTGTGGCTTTGGTAACATTGATTTTACTTCATCCTATGAGTGAAACTCAGCCTGGAACTAAACTGCCAAATAATGCAGTTTGAACTGCATTATATGGTCAGTGTAGACCGGGCACTGGCAAACAGCCCTCCAGGTATTTTGGACTTCAACTCCCACAATTCCTAACAGCAGACTGTTAGGAGTTGAGGGAGTTGAAATCCAAAACACCTGGAGGGCCAACATTTGCCCATGTCTGGTGTAGACCCATAAAATGCAGTCTGAGATGCATTATATGGGTTTACATTGCCCATATAATGCATTCAAACTGCATTAAGTGGTAGTGTAGATCAAGCCTCAAACTCCAAAGCAGCCCTCATGTAACCACAGGGTTATCAAAGTTATATATGTATATACATAGATCTTAGCAAAGCAAGCCTCAGAAATATATATAAACCAGATTTATTTTATTTATTTACAGCATTTATATACTGCTTTTCTCACCGCTAGGGGGACTCAAAGCGGTTTACACATAGATAATGCAAAAATTCAATGCCTTACAACTACAATATTAAAACCATACTTTAAACATAAATCATATTAAAAACAGTACATCATCAAATATCAAAACAGTTATTAAAACCATAAAACAATCTCATCAGTCGAGTCGCCGTTCCAGTCCTTGTCCCACTAAAAGCTGCATACATCTATTGTCCGAAGGCCTGGTCCCAGAACCATGATTTTAATTTTTTTCTAAAGGTCAGGAGCGAGGGAGCAGATCTTACCTCCTTTGGGAGTATGTTCCATAGATGGGGGGGGGGGGCTACAGCCGAGAAGGCCCTGCTCCTCGTCCCCGCCAGTCGCATTTGCACTGTTGACGGGAGCGAGAGCAGGGCCTCCCCGGATGATCTTAAATTGCGAGGTGGGACGTAGGGGCAGATGCATTCAGACAAGTAAGCTGGGCCTGAACAAAGTAGCTCTTTTTAAAAAAGATCCTCTATGCATAGCATAACTATAAACCAGCAGTTAAACTGGATCCCACATTAGTGGCATTGACTGAGCTCAGTTATTGCGCAATACTTGATTAGCAGTGAAAAGTGTAGAGATCTAGGTAAATTCTTAAAGTTGGTTTGGCTTGGTAATCTATTTTTATGCTAATGCAGCGCTGCAATTATATTTCAACCTACATCATTGGCAATAATAAGGTTTTAAACTTATTTCAGGTACAAACTTACCGGCACCAAAAGGCACATATGCAAATTTCTCTCCAGCTGCAGGGTTTTCTTGGAGGTAGCGTTGTGGTTTGAAGTCTAGGTTTTCTATCCAACAGTCCTTAAGTCTATGATTTACAGTAGGGGATACACAAACTTGATGACCAGGAGGAATTGTGTAGCCAGCAACAGTCTAAAACAACAAAGATTTTGAAGCAGTTTATAATGTTCTCTATCTGCAATTTCAAAATGTGTTTCAGATTTAGTTCCATAGACATTCTGCATAGTTGGTTTTCTAGTATAAAATGCTTAACATAGTGCTATGCTAGGATTGCCAATCCAAGGAGCATAATAAATAACATTCTATTCAGAAGGAATTCAGATTGTTCTTTCAAAAAGTGGTTGCTTATTCACTGGAAGGTAGAAGTGTCATTAATGCTAACTAAAGGAAAATAATGTAGAATTGGAGCAGCATAATTGTTTTTTCTGTTTTGAAACAGAAGAAAGAAATAGCTGCTGAAGTATTACATGTGTTACTGAACATGCAATCATCCAGGATCATCTTGCTACAATCCTAAACTTCTCATAAACTAGAACTTGTAGGCTTTTCCATATTTACTGAATGGGGATCAAATCCAAAAGGATGGATTACAACATACTGCTTTTCCGCAGAATGGATCTGAGAAATCCCATGCTAAGCCCCAAAGTTTCCCCCCCGACTGATCCACAGATCATATCAAAATCCATAATTTTGGTCCCCAAATGTGCCCTCAACATATGCATGATGTTGGCTTACATACAAGTTTGGAAGCCCTGGATTCTTCAGGTGCCAAAACTATTTTTGCAAAGTTTTCCCCAAAGAAGCAATTTCCACCTAATTTTCCAGGCCCCTCGAACTGATTTTGGCCTAGGGGGAACCTTTTTCTTTAAGTAGGTTGACAGAGACCTAGACTCTTATTTTGTGATGTAAGATCTCAGCCTATGGTTGAAGTCCTATAAACTACCTTCACTCAACCTTGTACAATACTAAAATTCTGCACTACGACATTCAGAATTTGCAAAGTGTTGGCTGTGCTAGTTGGGGCGATAGGGAATTGATATTCAAAGAGTGCTGTACACATTTACCAAAAAATGAGTTTTCAGTGAACTTGTGTAGAACTGAACTATAAATATATACATTTCAGAATTCTTTAAGCACAACTGTCACTGTTTGGTGGAATAATTTACCAAAAGATTGAAAAGATAGAAATCTTTCCATTTTGTATATCCCATTGATTATTAATAATTGTAACTAGTAAATTTACTATAATTTACTTTTTGAGACATAATACTATATAACATTATTTTTATCCCTGGGTTATAAAAGTTATTTTCTAATTGCTTCTATCATAAAAACATGGAAAAACTGGGTTGCTGTGAATTTTCCAAGTTGTATGGCCATGTTCCAGAAGCATTATCTCCTGGCATTTCATCCACATCTATGGCAGGCATCCTCAGAGGCTGTAAGGTCTCAATGCTAATCAAGGTTGTCAACTGCAACATTCACTTTCCTCAAGTAGACAAAGTTCTTTCTCCCACCCCGCACATTCCACAGATATATAAACACCACTTGGCTAGTTTCCAACAGACCTCACAACTTCTGAGGATGCCTGCCATAGAAGTGGCCAAAATGTCAGGAGAGAATGCTTCTGGAGCATGGCCATACAGACTGGAAAACTCACAGCAACCCAGTGATTCTGGTCATGAAAGCCTTTGACAACACATTGAACATGGAAAATTTTTACTAAATTGCAAAAAAACTCTTGTGGAACATCCTGCAGCACATTTTGCTACAGTTTTTCAATGAATATTCCACCGAGTCTCAACCAATTCAACATAGTTTGTGACAGCCACAAAAACAAAGTTTCTGGCGTATAACAACTAAAAGAGCAAGAATACTTTGAAACCAGGAATTTTGTTACATAGTGTAACTCCATGTTACCAAAGTTTCTTACCTGTGGTGTTCTAGCCATCCTCATCATGGTCATTATAGGAGGTCTGAGCCTTAATGTTTCCTTCAAACAATGCTCCAGCAATGTCATATCCTTCAGCTACAAATTAAAAAATACTTTTTACTTTCCAGATCATCCATATTTAAAAACAACAAAATGTATATAATGTACTAGAAGTTTCCTATTGCAAAACTACAAATTAAAAAAATACTTTTTACTTTCCAGATCATCCATATTTAAAAACAACAAGATGTATATAATGTACTAGAAGTTTCCTATTGCAAAACTGCTGCAATGTGCCACCATGATGTCTTGTACCATCATAAAAAAGAGCAGAGTTATGAGTCAGTTAGAGCATTAAGATCAGCCAAGGAGGCCCTGCTCTTGGTCCTGCAGCCCTTGCAGGAGCAACTTGTGGGGACAAGAGACAGGCACTTCTCAGTGGTGGACCCTCAGCTGTGGAACTCCCTCCCCAGTGAGATTAGTTTGGCCCCCTCCCTCCTGGTGTTTAGAAAACAACTTAAAACATGGTTTTTCAAGCAAGCATTCGGGGAGTGAGATTAATTAGGATTGGTGCAATGTCGAACGTTCTGTTTTATGTTTGTCTGTGTCTGATGTTTTTATAGTTTACTGGTTTTAATTTAATTTCATATGCTCTTTAAGTTATGTAACAAATTTTATATTTTGTGAGGCATTAAATTTTGCCATTTACTTGTGAACCACTTTAAGTCCCCCAGGATGAGAAAAGTGGCATATAAATAAAATATATAAATAAACTGTATAACTAATAGCGGCGGCCCCGGTGGCCCAGTGGGATAAACCGCATTTGCTGCTGAACTTGCCAACCAAAAGGTCAGCAAGTTCAAATCTGGGGTATAGGTTGGGCTCCTGCTGTTAGATCCAGCTTCTGGCAACCTAGCAGTTAGAAAACATGCAAATATGAGTAGATAATTAAGTACCGCTTTAGCGGGAAAGTAATGTCACTCCATGCAGTCATGCTGTCCACATGTCCTTGGAGGCATCTACAGACAACCCTGGCTCTTAAAAATGGAGATGAGCACCACCCCCAGAGTCGGACACGACTAGATTTAATGTCAAGGGGAAACCTTTACTATAACTAACGGCAATTTAAAACAGTTTTTTTCTCTATCTACAAAGCACACAAAACATGCACGAATGCCAACATATACATTAACAAAAATATATGCTCCCAGCTGCATACTTATTTTCCTCCTCCAACAACTGTTAGATGCAACCAGTTAGGGTATCAACATTTTTGGTGTTTAATCTTATGCATTTACCTTGGAAGTAAGTTTCACTGTATAAAATTCTAAACAAGGGAATAGGGACTGCAAAGGGCATATATTTTATTACTTTCTAATTCTGAGGGACACCTCATTGTATCTCAGCTTAATTTCTGCTCTAAGTGCGAAAGCTCGAAAAAGGAATATTGCACACAGTTCTAGTACTTGAAATATTTCACCATGATGAGGTGTTTTTTTCCCCCCATAAGACGCACCATCTTCATTGGAAAGTGAAAACCAAAAAATTACAAAACCCAGCAAGGTTTTCTGAGATGAGTTCAGTCAATAGATTTGAAGGGTCTTCAAGGAGTGAGCATGCAGAGACAGTCAAAAGGAAGACAGGGTATACAAACCTGATCATAGTTTAATGCAAGCAAATCCTCTCCACACACCGCTTTCTGTTCCACATAACACTGTTCCTGGAGGGATTTATCTCTTGCCAAAAAGAAGCCAAGCCAAGTACTTGTGGTTGAAGATGTGTGTTGACCTGCCAACAGCAGCCCAATAAGCATCCCAGCAATTTCATCATCTGTCAGATAACGCCCATCTCTAGACAAAAAAAAGGTCTCATGAGGGCGTGGTTCACACCAAACAATCCAGCACGTCAGAAGAAGAAGAAAGGCTAATGAATTCCCAGAATTTCTAATCCAAAATTAGTGGAAATGCAAAAGCAGTAAACAATGTCAGGACAAGCAAGAGTATTTATTAGAAATATTTATATCCCAACACTCCCACTTGCACTTTCAGAGTTTGAAGCAGAGGAGCTGCAGCCATTTAAAAACAAAAGCATTAGAGAAAAGAAACAACAATAAAAGCTAAATAAGATGACGTTAATCAGAAGGAGATGTTGGGAAAGTAGTCACCCAGAATCATTTTCAACCCAGATAAACTAGGCCAAAACAGAGGTTAAAATACACAACTAGATCCCTGATTAGAAGAAGAAAAAAACTCTGAATTTCTCAACAAATGCCCTGTCAATTTAAAGTTGCATGACAAGACAGCACTGACATGGCAAGCAGTAGTCAGATTTGGCCACAGTAGTCCACGCTCTTGTTACATCTCGAATAATAAAGATGCGCTCTACGCGTGATTGCCTTTGAAGACTGTTTGGAAGCTTCAAGCAGTCCAACGGGCAGCAGCTAGGTTTCTAACTGGAGCAAGGTAACTCCCTTGTTGCAACAGCTCCACTGGCTGCCAGTCTGCTTCCACACACAATTCAAAGTGCTGCCTTTAGTCTATAAAGCCCTAAACGGTTGCAGCCCAGCTTACCTGGCCAAATGTATCTCCCTCTATGAACCATCTTGGAGGTAAAGATCGCCTGGGGAGGCCCTGATCTCGATCCCACCCCCCTCGAAGGCACAACTGGTGGGGCCAAGAGAAAGGGCCTTTTCTCTGGTGGCCCCTCGGCTATGGAACTCCCTCCCCAGGGAAATTAAATCAGCCCCCTCCCTCCTGACCGTCAGGGAAAAAATGTGAAGGCATGGTTGTGGGACCAAGCATTTGCACAATGATTCCCAGTGCAACAATGATCTCTCAGTACAATAACAAATAATGCAAGTAACAACCGGAATGGCTCCTGTAATATTCTTTTGGATTGTGTGTTTTTAAGTAATTGTTTAAAGTTATTATGTTTTATGTATATGATTTTAAAGTATATGTTGTTTTATTTTTATATGTACCCAAGGCATCTAACTGTGCCTTTGTTGTGAGCTGCTCTGAGTCCCCTTCAGGGTGAGAAGGGTGGGATATAAATGCGATAAGTAAATAAATAAATACCATTCTTCAAAATCCAGAGCCAGTTTAACTCTTCCTCCACCCTCTTATCACATGTTCTCTTCAACTAATTCTTGTTGATGTTTTTGTAAATTCCTTATTATTTATTTATTTATTTATTTATTTACTTACTGCATTTATATCCCGCCCTTCTCAGGGCAGCTCACAACAAAGGCACATTACGTAAATTCTCACATCACAAAAGTTAGGGTGTTGTTTTTGTAAATTTTTTATTATTTATTTATTTATTTGCTGCATTTATATCCCACCCTTCTCATGACGGCTCACAACGAAGGCACATTATGTAAATTCTCACATCACAAAAGTTAGTGCTTGCCTTTCAGAATCATTTTTATCATTTAACACAATAATAATTCCTATTCACTTGGGTGTATCCAGACCTATTTAGGTGCTTCAGTATTAACCACCTACTTCTTATATGTTGATGCAGCAGGTAGGTTATGCTGTTCAGCAAGGACTAGAGTTTAATGCTGCAACCATGATTCCAGAGAGTACAAAATCAAACCTTTACTGCATTCAAATCAGTTCATAATGTAATCTTGTGGAAACTAAAGCATCTAAAACGGTGTTTGTGGGACCAAAAGAGTAGACACGTGGTTGACTTCTCACAAGTGTTGATGATTGCCAGCTTTTTACTTTTAAGTTCTCATTCTACCTTCAACTGGCCATATCTCAGGCCTCTTCTACATTGCCATATAACACGGATTATCAAATCAGATCATCCACATTGTCTTCTGAACTGGATTATATCAGTCTACACTGCCATATAAGGGCCCCTTGGTGGCACAGCAGGTTAAACCGCTGAGCTGCTGAACTTGCTGACTGAAAGGTTGGCGGTTAAAATCCAGGGTGTGGGGCAAGTTCCTGCTGTTAGGCCCAGCTTCTGCCAACCTAGCAGTTTGAGAACAAGCAAATGTGAATAGACCACTAGGTACCGCTTTCTGCAGGAAGGTAACGGCGCTCCATGCAGTCATGCTGGCCACATTACCTTGGAGGTGTCTAAGGATAATGCCGGCTCTTCAGCTTAGAAATTGAGTTGAGCACCACTGCCCAGAGTCAGACATAACGAGACTTAATGTCAGGGGAAACCTTTACCTTACACTGCCATATAATTCAGTTTAAAGCAAATAATCTGGATTTGATATGGCAGTGTAGAAGGGGTCTCAGTTTCTGCCTGCATCCAGTTTCTGGACACACACAACTGCTCTGAGGTTTGTGTAATGAACACCCAAGCCTCAAACCGGTTCCAGGATTTCCTATGTGATCATCTGCACAGCAAAACCACTTTCTTTAATACCTGCATTAAATGGTCTGTGTAGATGCCCCACTCTTTTTACTCAAGCCCCAAGTTGCCCCTTGCCAGTTAAAGCTTAGTTATTTCACATACTTGTAGGTAACATCCAATAGTGTCTGTAGCATGTCATCCTCTCTGTCTTCAGACTGCCGGCGTTTCTGTATTACTTCATAGAAAATTGCCTTTATTTTACGATGGGCTCTGTCTCTGCGTCTAAAATGAAAAACAACTGTGTAAGTAAAAATCAGTATCTATAAATCAACATGTGAAAGACTCTGATCTTATACATGTTTTTTCAAGCTTCAACTGTTTGCAGCAGTTCCCACAACACACAAAAAACACCTCAAGGAAAATTGTGTCATATATTTAATAGCTAACGCAACAGAATAGATCAATGCTAGGATGCCACATTACTAAGCCTTTAATTTAAATATCAAGAATTTTGATTTAGCAATACTCTAGTTCTCATGCAAGATTAACTCACTTTACACTGGTATGAAAACTATATATAAAGAGAGTAATACTATACTATGAACTATATCACTATGTAACACTAGTGGGGCTATACTCCTGGGGCTATACGTGGCGTTTCTTAATTGATTCTACCATAAAAACATGAGGATAGTTTATTAAACCACAAAAACTTTGTTTTTGCCTTCTGCACATTGAAAAGTTAAAATGGCATATTTTCATTAAGGAAAATTACAAAGTACCTAGACTGAATAATAATAATAATAATAATAATAATAATAATAATAATAATAATAATAATAATACACTATTATATTCTGCCTTCCTCCCCTAGGGGACTCAGAGCGGATTACAGCATTTACATACATAGGCAAACATTCAATGCCTTTACAATCATATATAATGAGACACACCAACAAAGGCAAAGGTTTCTCCTTTCATTTCCAGCTTCTGGAAGCAGTGCTCATCCCTGGTCCTGGGGAGCTGCTTTTCTCCATTTTCAAGCTGAGGAGCCTGCGTTGTCACCTCCTGGTTGTGTAGTTGGCAAGATTGCCTGGAGCATCTCTTTGCCTTTTCCCACCGAAGTGATACCTATTTATCTACTCACATTTGCATATTTTCAAACTGCTAGGTTGGCAGGAATTGGAGCTGACAGATGGGAGCTCACCCCATCTCACAGATCTGAACTGCCGACCTTCAGGTCAGCAGTTGGCAGGAGTTAGAGCTGACAGGAGTTAGAGCTCACCCCATCTCACAGATTCAAACTGCCGACCTTCAGGTCAGCAGTTCAGCCACACAAGGGTTTAACCCATTGCACCACTACAGCTCCCTGAAGAAAATAATAGTACTACCCTCAGCCACAAAAACAAAGTTTCTGGAATACAAAAACTACTTTCTAAGTAAGTACCACACAATTAAACAAGAAATAACACTTTCAAACCAGGAACAGATTTTTCAAATTTTGTTACATAGTGTCACTGAATTCTAGCTCCAAAGGTAACCATTGCATGATACAACATGAGAATGTATATGACAAACATATTTTGAAAATTCATTCATAAGGGTAGATGACAGAAAAGGAAAAGCCAGGATCACTGAGCCCTCAAGAGTCTCTTATGACTGGAGTAGGAAATAATAAAATTTGCAGTGACATACGTAATCAAAATTGATGCAAAAGCTTCCCCAGTATCAGGAACATAAGAGTACACTAAAATTAAAGTCACTGGGAAAAACTGTCACTCAATTACTCATTACTGAAAAGGATTTCTTCTCTTTTTCTAGAGTATCTTTCTTCAGTGCCCCACTGCACAAAGTTGGGCTCTTACCCTGTTTCAACACTTATTTACTATGGCTAAGGACATTGAAAACATCTTTAGATTTACTGGGAAAACAGGTTTCAGGAGCAAATAACTCACAATATGTGAGATTTCAACTGGTGAGATCAGGTCCAAATCTCTACTCTGCCATATATAATCTTAAGATATTAGTTATCTCCCTGACTAATTTACTGCACCGGTTTTATAGTGAGGATACAAGAGAATAGAAAGAATTGCACAACAACCTTAGATTCATGAGAGTAATGACAAAATACAAATATATAATGAAAACATGTATTTGATTAACAACATTTTCTGCTGATTAAGTTCTTTAATACCTGAAACTAGGCAAAGGCAGCCAACCAGGCAAAAGCCAAGCCGCGTGAGTAAATCCCCCATCCAGATCAGCATAGAGTTCTGCCACCTTCTCATTGAGAATGCTCCGTATTTCCTTCCCATGTAAACAGTGACTGGCTGTCAAAATGATCAGTTCTGACAGTGCTTCAAATAAGTCTGCAACACAAGGAAAGGAAAACACTCGTCATAATTTAAATTTTAAAGAGCCAGTATATAGAATAAGTTTTAATGTTTACATTGGAAAGTGCTTATTGTACTTCTAAATGTTGTATATTATTTTATGTCATGGCCTATGGCTGGTACAATAAACCAATCATTAATTCATTCATTCAGCCTTGCTGCAAGCCACTTCTGGTGTGAGAATCTGTCATCTACAAAGACGTTTCCCAGGGAATGCCTGGATGTGTTATGATCCCATGGGTAGGCTTCTCTCATGTTGCAGGAACACCTCAGCAAGTGAGAGTCCAAAAGTGGCAGGCTAAAATCCAGAATCCCCACCCATGGCTGATACCGAATGAGAGACTCCCTCTTGGGCACACAGAAGACTGGGAAATTTGGAATGCACTAAACGGATTGCACTCTGGGACCACAAGATGCTGAGCCAACCTTAAGAAATGGCACTACAAAGTAGAGTCCACAATGTGTGAGTGTGGAGAAGAGCAAACCATAGACCAACAATTACAATGCAGTCTGATCCCTGCCACATGCACAATGGAGGATCTTCTTATAGCAACACCAGAGACACTCCAAGTGGCCAGCTACTGGTCAAAGGACATTTAGTATAATGCCAAGTTTTTAACTTTGCTTGTGTTTTTAAATACATTACAACTGTACCCTCAATTCGCTTCTGACACAATAAAATAAATAAATTCATCCTTGTAGTTTACTTCAAATTAGACAAAATAAATAAATTGAATGAATACTTCATTGGGGGACAACTGCTATATAACAACAGGTGACATCTGCTGCAAGACTGGGGCATTATCTACTCAGATGTCTCATCTCCATTCTGGATCAAATGATACAGATAGGATTTCAAGAAAAAACATTACTACACATCGCCATATTATACCAATAACTAGAATGCACATAACTCCACAAACCAATTTAGGTAATGAAACTAGAGATGCCACACTGATACCAAAAGATACAAGAATGGGAGTCCATGAATTGGAAGGCAGCTAAATTGTCATTAAAATCGCAACACTAAGAATGAGGAATATGAGAAGAGGGTACTTAGGTGGTAAATATACAAGCAATGATGTGATGGAAGTAAGCACACTCGTGGTATTTGCTATTACGATGTTATCAAGGCAAATTCTGAGAGAACTCTGGATATTCCTAGAACATATTTGCAACAGTTAGCTTCTCCCCTCTCTTACTTGGAGGAAGTACTAAACTTTCGAGTTGAAAAAGCTCTATGTCAGTGGTTCTCAATCTGTGGGTCCCCAGAAGTTTTGGTCTTCAACTCACAGAAATCCTAACAGGTGGTAAACTGGTTGGGATTTCTGAGAGTTGTAGGCCAAAACACCTGGGGACCCACAAGCTGAGAAACACTGCTCTACGTGATATTTTTGCCAAGGATCCATGACACATGACAAGATATGCCTCCTTATATTACCCATCCTTTGCATTTCGTGGGGTATCAGAATCCAGAATCTTCCCTACCCACCAAGTACCCGTTTTTCGATTTTAAAGCTCTATACTTACTACGTTCGCCACTGTCTCCCCATGTTTTGAAATATTCCAGGGTTTCCTTTTCTATTATTGGAACATGATTCTTAAATTGGCTTATATTGAGTCCAGTTTTGAGCATCTTCTTTTGTTCCAAAAATACCTTCAAAAGGTAAGCAAAGCAACAGTTACAACATTAAGTGTTACACATAACATTTAAAACATGAACATGGCATATGCCCAACAAAAAAGCTCTTCGACATCAGTGATTTTAGGACAAGGAATTGAGGTATAACCTTTCAATGGCTTCAATAGGACAAACAGTTTTTAATGTTAACTGGATTGTGCTGACAGTACATTTTCAAACTAGTTTGTCCTTTCAGAAGGACAAACAGAAGCATTTCAAAGGCACCATCAATCTTGCTACAGAAGAACATTTCTTTCCAGTTATCTTTTGGAATTGTTCTTATAAATCAGCATTTCCCAACCTGGGGGTTGGGACCCCTGGGGAGTTTAATTGCGAAGGGGGCTTCATAGGGGTCACCAAAGACCATCAGAAAATACATATTTCTGATGGTCTTAGGAACCCCTTTAGCAGAGAAGACTGAAGATATCTTCACCTGTCCTTCTCTTTCTTTTTGGAAACAGATGGCAAATCCTCCCACCAAAAGCCCTCCTCCACTGTGATTGGCTGGCCTCTCAGCCAAGGGAGAGCTGTTTTTGAGACTCCAAGCAGGGAGGGGAGAGCGGGCATGCTTGGCACATGGCAGCGTGGTGCTCATATGCAGATGAGGGAGAAAGTATGAGGCTGGAAAGAGGCTTACGCCAGCAAGTTCCTTCAAGGCATGGGTGTTCTGTGTGGGAAGTCTGGCCCAATTCTATCGGTGGGATTCAGAATGTTCTTTGATTGTAGATGAACTATAAATCCGAGCAACTACAACTCCCAATTGTCAAGGTCTATTTTCCCCAAACTCCAGCAGTGTTCACATTTGGGCATATTGAGCAAGTTTGCTCCAGATCTATCGTTTGAGTCCACGGTGCTCTCTGGATATAGGTGAACTACAACTCCAAAACTCAAGGTCAATGCTCACCAAACCCTTCCAGTATTTTCTGTTGGTCTTGGGAGTTCTGTGTGCCAAGTTTGCTTCAATCCCATTATTGGTGGAGTTCAGGATGCTCTTTGATTGTAGGTTAATTATAAATCTCAGCAACTACAACTCCCAAATGACAAAATCAATCCCCCCCCCCCACAAAAAAAAACTCCACCAGTGGTCAAATTTGAGTGTATTGGGTATTTGTGCCAAATTTGGTCCAGTGAATGAAAATACATCCTGCATATCAGATATTTACATTACAATTCAGAACAGTAGCAAAAGTACTGTTAGAAAATAGCAATGAAAATAATGTTATGGTTGGGGGTCACCACAGCATGAAGAACTGAGTTGTGGCATTAGGAAGGTTGAGAAACACTCTTTTAAATCAACCTAATATCTACGTACAAATATGCTGATCCAGGTGATTTAGCAGGCAGAGACCTGCTGAAACACCGAGCCAAAAGGTGACTTTTAAGCCTCATTTACCCACATTTTTCCCTGGAAGTCCACAACCCAACTGATAGAATTCTATTAAAACACTTGAATCTGTGTCTTAACCAATTGTTCCCCCTTTTTTCAAGTATAGATTTGGGAAGATAATAAACTATTTTAGAGGATAACATAGCACAATATATAAAAAGTCACACTTCTAGCACATCGTAGTAAAGACAGGAGGTAACCTTTTAACTGCCTTTTGGCTCTTATTTGTTCATTAAGATGAAAGGTAAGATTCAGTTAAAATATGCCAAAATACACATAAGAGCAAAGGCAACAGAAGTCATTCCTGGTCACTACTTTGATGGACACCACCAACAAATACCAGGTGCTATTTCCTTGTCTAAAGAATATAATTTGCCATAGGTCAACAGGTGACTTAAACATCTAAGTGCAAGCAAACAAAAAAAAATCTGAGTAAGAGACAGGTTGCATGCAAATTAAATCTGCAAAATACTAGATTATGAAGGATGAGATCCAGGGACTTAATTTCTCTCTTGACACATAGAGAAATGTGTTATATGTCAGGCAGGGCAATCAGATCCAGCTAAATTATTATGACAAAGAGTGCCTTAACTCAAAATCCTCTGTTGGAACTGGGACTAAATAATTAATTTATAAACCAATTCTACAAATTTCTGTACAATTAAAGCAGTTGCCGCTAGCAATTAATGAATGTAGTAATTGATCGTTCAACTAATTATACAGTGGACCAATCAGATCTGTAGGCTCTGGATTCACAATTTTAACGACTTCCAGGGCATTATGCCCCCCATATTATTAAATGGTGGTGATATTCTAAGCCATTTAATAATCTGGGTCATGATGCTCTGGAGTTAGTTGAAATTGTGAATCCAGAAACTACGCATCTGATGGAACAATACGGGGTGTGATCATGCACCTTTTTTTCTTAACCATTCAAAGTCCCAGAGCATAACCTCATAGATACACTATAGTTAATTTCAGAAAGAATTTACTAGTTTGAAGACATTATATAGTTCATTTCGAAACTGCATTGGTTTGAAACCATTACACAGATACTGACTGCATTTGACTGACAGTTTATGCTATCATAAAAATGGTTGTGCAGGTAGTTACTTTATCAGAAGCCAAAACGTACAATTCCTAATAAAGAGGCACACACTAACTTTTGACACAGACGGTGGAGAACTAGTACAAATTAGCATAATATACTTTGAGGAGGAGGATTGGCAGTATTTCCATGGGTGTTCCAACCACTGATTTATAATTACAGCTAATCTGATTAGGTATTAATGAGCAAGAATGATGGTGATAAGATGCTGCAGTTTGATCTGCTTCTGTTTGTTTGCTTTTGTGTAATTCCATACTGGTGCCCCAATTAAACAAATACAAAATCAATTCATATGACAATGCACATACTGGGTTGGGGACATCATATGCCACTCCCTTTCCAAAGACAGGTGTAGTCAGACGTGAATACACATCTTCTGCGTTCAAGTCTTCATTTTTACTGTTGAACAGAAGCGCAGCAGCATCACTTCCCAGCAGATAGGTGAATGTCTTCCCCACCATAGTAAAGCTGAATACAGGTCCATACTGTATTTAGGATGAATGGAGAAAAGGAATTAGGAAATAGATGAAAGGAGGAGGAAAAGAAAGGTAAGATAATAGTTGCCTTTGAAGACGACACAGAAGCTTCAATTAGTCCAATGGGCAGAAGCCAGATTTCTAACTGGGGCAGCGTACAGGGAGAATACTACTCCTCTCTTATGTCAGCTCCACTGGCTGCCAGCCTACTACCAAGCCCAATTCAAAGTGCTGATCTTGGCCTATAAAGCCCTAAATCAGTGTTTCTCAACTCCCAGAAATCCTAACAGCTGGTAAACTGGCTGGGATTTCTGGGAGTTGTAGGCCAAAACACCTGGGGACCCACAGGTTGAGAACTACTGCCCTAAATGGTTCTGGTCCAACTTACCTGTCCAAACGCATATCCCTCTATGAGCCTACAAGAGCTTTAAGATCGGCTGAGGAGGCCCTGCTCTCTGTCCCAACCTCTTCCCTATCTCGATTGGCCAGGAAGATAGACAGGCCCTTCTCAGTAGTGGCCCCTTGGCTGTGGAACTCCCTCCCCAGTAACATCAGGCAGGCCCCATCCCTCCTGGTTCTTAGAAAAAAACTTGAGACCTGGTTTTTATGCAGGCATTTAGTAAATAGTAAACTATGGAATAAGACTTTAACAGCTTGAATAATGGACTGTGGATTTTGGAAAATGATTATGGATAGATCATGACTCGACATTTTATAAGGTTTTTAAACTGTTTGATTGATTGATATATGTTTTAATTGCTTATATGTTTAGATTGTTTATATTTTGATGAGATGTGTTTTATTGTTTACCTGTGCAGCATTGAATTTTTGCCGGATTTGTAAGCCGCCCTGAGTCCCCTACGGGGTCATGAAAGGCGGAGTAGAAATGAAGCAAATAAATAAATAAATAAATAAATATTATAATACCCGGCATTAGATATTACAATGAGAATTTCCACTCCAGGTCATAGAAATTGAAATAATGAAAATATATGCATGCCTACACAAATTTTGTCATTTACACAAATCCTTCAATATTACATTGTACAAAACAGTGAGACTCAATAAAATACTGCCTGATAAACAGACAATAATTTTTACAGGATGGATCTGGCATCAAACCACATTAATTCTACAGTGTAGATACACCCCAAAGAACAATAAAATGTCATCTGTGTGAAGACCGTCTTTATAAAAAGATTAGACTCACCTTTTCATAGGCATTTTCCAAAAATTCGATAGGATTTTTCCCAAATGCAACAGCATGCCCCAAAAAGGGGATATTTGATGAAATATAAGGTGGGTACCTCTACAGTAAGAGAGAGAAGAGAAAAAAAAATATTATAATTACATATTTGGGGGGGGGGGGTTGGAGAAGAATCCACATACAATGACAGTCTACTTTGCTGTTTTACTTCTCCTGCTTATGTTGACAGGTTACAACAAAGCTCCTACCATCGTGGTGGGATCAACTGTGGGATCATAATATGATCTGGCACATTTTGTTGTTACTGAAGGAGAAGTGAAACAGCACCCTGGGCAAATGGGAGGAGGCTTCTGCAAGTAAAACCTCAAGAACTTAATCAGTTCGCCACTGAAGCTATGAAAGAACTTTTGGGATGAGCACAAAGAAAATAAACCTACAAAGAAGACAGCATATATATCCAACCATGGAGGACTGATTAAGCATCGAAGTGGAGATTAATTTCAAACCAATCTCAGAAGTGAGAAATGCAAGAAAATATCCTACTTTGGCTTGCAGTTACACTGGCCAACACACATTTTGGTGCTTCAGATGTTACACCTGTTTCTGGATATATTTGACCTGCTGATTCCAAAACTGGATAGACTTGACCTGCTGATTCCAAAACTGATTCCAGTTTTTCCCTGTCAGGTTTAGTTTTTGAGACACATGGCTTATATCAGCCATCATCTGCTCGCCCATAAAAAATCATGATAACCATATCTATTAAACTAGAACTGATGTGGTCTATCCAATGCAAATTTCAGATTCAGTTTCCAAAGAACTCCAGGCCTAAAAACCAACGCATAATTTTTTTATGGTTGGGCTGTGTCATTCTCTTCAAATGGGCTACTCAAAGCTCCTTGTTTTTCTTTCCCAATGGTGACTCGATATCTCACACTAGTCTTTTAAGGCAGGGATAGACCACTGTGACTCTCTGCCCAAGCCAAAGTACAATTTGTTTACAATGTAGAATTAATGCTGTGGCCCAATGTTACATAGCATCATGGGAGCTGTAGTTTTACAAGGTCTTTAGCTTTCTCTGCCAAAGAGGGCTGGTGCCATACCAAACAACTGTCAGAGTTTTGCAATATTATTATTATTATTATTATTATTATTATTATTATTATTATTATTATTATAACTTTATTTGTACCCCGCTAGCATCTCCCAAGGGATTCGACTCAATATTCCATCATTTCTGAAGTGACAATAAATAATTATAGGGATCCATACCAACCCAGTGGCAAGCATTAAGGATTCAATCACCTGGCTCGCATTGTGTAATTTACAGCCAGGGTAGGGTAGATGAAAGGGTAATAAAAAAAGCACAAGTTTCTCTGATAGTCGCTGTTGTTGTTGTTGTTGTTGTTGGAGTGCTGAGCGTATCAATGTAATTAGCTGGCCAAAGTACTGATTCTAAATTCCATTCGCTCACTTCAAGAGTCAGAGCCCCCGGAGCCCCCGGTGGCGCAGTGGGTGTGCCGGCAGGACTGAAGACCAACAGGTCGCAGGTTCAAATCCGGGGAGAGGCGGATGAGCTCCCTCTATCAGCTCCAGCTCCTCATGTGGGGACATGAGAGAAGCCTCCCACAAGGATCAAATCATCCGGGCGTCCCCTGGGCAACGTCCTTACAGACGGCCAATTCTCTCACACCAGAAGCAACTTGAGTTCTCATGACCAAAAAAAAAACTTCAAGAGTCTTGCTCTGCTCTAACTGCTCTTTACCTTTATTTACAGTTCAGTCATAATCAAAACAAAAGAGAAAACAATGGCAGGTAGTTTATATAAATACTACTACTTATCCCCTCATTAATTCACTCTACCAATGCTGGCCCACCAAGTTTCATAACATTTGGGTTATTCCCCGATTTTGAGGAATTTTCTATTCTAGAAATAAAATCCCCTTTAAAAAAATTCCCAAAAAGATATCCACCCTGTAACTTCTCCAGGAGCAGCAGTAGGGAACTATTCCTTCCTGCCAAATGTCAAAGATGCACTTCCACATCACACAAACCACTATTACACTTTCTTTACTAATTAAAAAAAGCAACTTATTCCAAAGCTTTTGCTTTTCTTATTCTCATAACATACTGGAAGAGGCCAGCAGCCCATCATCCACATGCAAGCAAGCAGCGTGTCCCCTTATTATTTATTTATTTATTATTTATTATTTGCACTTGTTAACCGCCACTCTCAGCCCGAAGGCGACTCGTGGCGGTGTACAGAACATAGAACATAAAGACAACAGTTACAATAAATCAAGACCATAACACACATCTTACTAACACAACTAATTAAACTAAAAATCCGCTCGTCATGTTTGGGTCATAATCAGTCTCGTAGCCATAGTCCATTCCGGTGGTCATTCCAAAAATATAGTACTTAGTTGAAGGCCTTTTCAAAGAGCCAGGTTTTCAGGCCCTTGCGGAAGGCCATGAGGGAAGGCGCCTGTCTGATTTCAGCAGGGAGGGAGTTCCACAGCCGGGGGGCCACCACCGAGAAGGCCCGCTCTCTAGTCCCCGCCAGGCGTGCCTGTGAGGCAGGCGGGACCGAGAGAAGGGCCTCCCCGGATGATCTTAAGGTCCTCGTGGGCTCGTAGGCCGAGATGCGGTACTCAAGGTATTTTGGGCCGGAACCGTTTAGGGCTTTGTAGGCCAATGCCAGCACCTTGAATTGAGCCCGGTAGCAAATCGGCAGCCAGTGGAGCTGGTACAGGAGGGGGGTTTTATGCTCCCTACGTCCCGCGCCTGTTAGTATCATGGCTGCCGCACGCTGGACCAGTTGGAGCTTCCGGGCCGTCTTCAAAGGCAACCCCACGTAGAGAGCGTTGCAGTAGTCTAACGGGATGTGACAAGAGCGTGGACTACCGTGGCCAAGTCCGACTTCCCAAGATACGGGCGCAACTGGTGCACGAGCCGAAGCTGTGCAAATGCTCCTCTGGACACCGCTGAAACTTGGGGTTCCAAGCTTAGCGAAGAATCCAGAGTCACACCCAAGCTGCGAACCTGCGCCTTCAAGGGGAGTGCGACCCCGTCCAGCACAGGCTGTAACCCTATACCCTGTTCGGCCTTGCGACTGACCAGGAGTACCTCTGTCTTGTCTGGATTTAATTTCAGTTTGTTCGCCCTCATCCAGACCGTCACAGCGGCCAGGCACCGGTTCAGGACTCCGACAGCCTCCTTAGTAGCAGGTGGGAAGGAGTGACAGAGTTGGACGTCAGAAAAACACTCCTGTATGATCCACAAATTATTAGGTATTGGTGGTAAGTTTAGGTAGGTAGGTTTTTTTTAGAGAATGTGGCTTTTTCTCTATACAATTCAGGGTTGTAAGTAGATTGGTTGTTGTTGTGTGCCTTCGCATTTATATCAACTTGGAAAAAGGTTTTCTCGGCAAAACATATTCAGAGGAAATTTGCCTATGCCATCCTCTGAAGCTGAGAGGGTGTGACTTGACAAAGTCCACTCAGTGGCTTTCCATGGCCAACTTTACCATAGGTACAAATCAGGCATGTAGCCGAGAGGGGGGGGGATTGAGGGGCTTCAGCCCTTCCCAAAAAAATTCTCAGGGTGGTCCACAAGAAGGGCTTACGGGTACATTATTTAAACTGTTGTGTTTATTCATATCATGATCTGATCACCATGCTCAATATATCCCATATGCATGGGGCTATTGGGATAATGATACAAAAGGTTTGCTAGGGTAGATCCTCAGCCCCCCCTTTGAATCAAACTCCCCCCCCCCCCCCCGAATCAAACTCAGCACCCCCCAAATCAAAATCCTGGCTACGGGACTTCCGGTTGGCGACTGATTAATGGAGGACACGCTTCTGTGAGCTCCGGAGAGCTCGGATCAGGAGCGGCTTGGCTTGAAGGTTTTGGGGATCGCAAAATAGCCCAACCCCCACTGGACGGACAGAGGTCGTGGGGGCGAGACCCTAAGGTGCCATCGGCCGACGGCATCTAAGTGGGGCCCCCCTCAAGGGGGCTCTCAAAGACGCCCGGCAACGAGGCACAAAAGGGTGGACGCAAGCCACAGTAGGAAGTTTTAAACTTCCCGAAGATCCATAGGTCGCCAGCACAAACAGCAAGAAAGGTGCTCTTTTAGAAACTCGGAACAATAAAGCGAGGAATATCCAAGACTTACAGCTGGTAACAGGAGTGGAAAGGGAAAGAAATATATGAATGGATGCAAGACGGACGCAAGACAAAGCAATAAAGCAATAAAGGAACAAAGATACTCAAGGTAAAGACGCTCAAGGTAAAGGAGACAGAAATATAGGGGTGGAAGGGAAGGAAAGGGGGGAAAGAAAGAGAGAGCAAGGGGAAAGAAGAAGAAGAAGAGAGTTAAAAAGGATTCAAGGAGTGAAGGAGGGGTCTGAAGAGGGAAGGGAGAAGGAAACGAGAACCAACAATTAAGGTAAAACAGAGGGCATCTACGGAAAGGAAATAAGCCCAACCAACACAGCTGGGTAGAGCCAATACAGCGGCTCCCTCCCTAAATGGGACAGCAGAACCGAGATCCAAGGGACCTGACGACCGACCCCCTCAAGGGAAGGCCGGAAGGACCTATAAGGGTCGAGGTATAGCGGGCTGTGAAAAGAGGGCATCCAAACGTGATTAAATATTCAAGCCCTAAACCATAGACCATCCTCAAACCTCACTTCCCATCCCAAAACTTTAAAACTATCGGAAGAAGGAAGGAGACCTCTCATTCTATATAAAATAAAGAGCTAAGAAAAAATCTCCCCACCCTTGCCACCCCCCAACCCTCCCCTTGGGAAAAAAAAGGGAAAAAAGGGGGAGAAAACCCCAAAAGCAAACATAAGAAAACGACAAGGAAAGAAAGGAGTTAAGCAACTGACCTTGAGTTGGAGATATTATCTAGGTGCTGGCTGGGAGCCAAGAGACCAAGACGTGTCCTTGGCGAAGAGAGGAAGCAGATAAGGATAGTGCACGGCGGGAACCTCCAGCCGCGTGGCCAAGGAAGAAGTGAAAACTAACGCGAGATAAGGGGGAAGCCAGAAAACGGGAACAAAGCCCCCTCGCGAGAAAGAGCGAGAGAG